GAGTGAGAGTGAGAGTGGGAGAGTGAGTGAGTGTGAGTGTGAGTGAGAGCGAGTGTGAGTGTGAGCGTGAGTGTGAGTGAGTGTGAGAGTGAAGGTGGGTGTGAGTGAGCGTGGGTGAGAGTGCGAGAGTGAGTGAGTGTGAGTGCGAGTGTGAGTGCGAGTGTGAGTGAGAGTCTGCGAGTGGGAGAGTGAGTGGGTGTGAGTGTGACCTTCAGGGTCTTAACCGACAATGAGATGTATTACAACGTCATTCTTTGGGAAGGAGACGCTTACGATAAGGAAAACAGGATGTCCTTAAATCAGGTCTTGGGAAACTACACCCCAGCGTTGAATAGTTCTTCTTGGACGAGTGGATACATAACCCTCCTCGCTTTGAGAAATGTTTATTTGGTTTGTAGTGAGTTGTCCGATGCTAGACAGTTGGGTTCAACTGGGGCGTATGCCATCATCAAAAAAGTTCCTATCAATGCTCCCTTTGGTTCGGTCATCTATGACAATGAAATCATCGGGGCAGACTACTGTACATCAATGTAAGCAATCGGGTGTTGAGAACCCTTCACTTCAAACTTGTAAATTCCTATGGTAATGTCGTTGATTTGAATAATGTGAATGTTTCCTTCAGTCTGACCTTCGTTGAAGAATAAGAGCTTGATAATATGTTTAAGTAAAATGTTATCAATCATTTCTGTTGCTTCAGTTTTGGATAGAGTTTGTTTTTTTGCATTTGTCTCATTTCTTTCAACCGTTCCGCTTTATCCTCCTTCTTGGCGGACTTCCATTGTTTGAATAGGTCTTGGTAATCCCTGTAGGTCATTAGGTCAATGAGATTTTTGTTGTGTCCGTCTTCAAACGCTTCCCTCATCACCTGTATCCCCGCTTTGCCGGGTGCGACCGCTTTGTGGATGGTCTTTTTCACTCCCTTCGTTTCTGTTTGTCCTTCCTCTTGTGGTGGTTGTTCTGGCGCTGGTGCTGATGAAGATGATGATGCTGATGCCTTTGCCTTTGGTCTTGTTCTTGGCGGTTGTTCTCCTTCAACGTTAAGTCTCCATCCTTTTTTGGTGTTGGGTTTTTATGGTGCTTCTTCGTATTCTGTGATGGTGGGTCTGTTTCCTCTCTCTTCTGACTTCCTGCTCTTGTATCCATATGTTCTACTTCTTCCTCTTCTGGTGGTGATTTCTTCGTTATTCTTCTCTTGGGTTTCGGTGTGAGTTTTGCCGTTAGACCTGTTGGGTTTGGTCTCTGTGGTTTTAACGGGTCTTTTTTCGTTCCCTTTGCTTTTGGTTTGGGTTTGTGCTCTACATCTGGAAGTAATGCCTCTGCGACGTTCTTTGCCACCGTTGAACCTAACGATTTTGCTAAAGACATCTTTTCATTGCCCGTTTCCCCTGATGTGTCTAATAGTCTGTCCGCTATGAGACCGCCTACTACTCCTCCTTGTGATGTTGCTACTGCCTTGACCGCTTCCTTCAGTAGTTTCTTTCCTGACTCTGTCCATCACGGATTGAGCGAAGCTTTGCTTTACCTCCTCTTGCTGAACACCAGCACTCGCAATCTCGGTTGCACCCGCATTATCCATTATGTTTTTGTTCATAGTGTGGTAGTCCGCCCTATGACTTAAACTGACCTGTTCCGCTATTTTCCTGTCTTCCTCTTCTCTCATCTCCGCTTCCTTCTCAAAACTCTTTTCATAAAGGTCTATGGCATCGTCTCAATTCCTCCATCTCGTCATCGTCGTTCGGGGCGTCTTCGGGTATTGTCGCCTCCTGCGCCATCCGCTTGAAGTTCTGCTGTTGTAAGTCCGCAGGATGGACCGGTGCTGTTCTCGTTGGGAGCCGTGTTCAGTGGGCTGTCGTGAAAATACCACGCGTTCCTGTCAAAAACCTTCCTTATTTCGTTGGTCTTAATCTTGTCTTTGTCTAATTCCTTTATCAACTCCGCATAAGTGGGAACTCTTGTTGATCCTTGTTTAACGTTTATCACTGCTGTAGCCTTAACAGTATATATTAAGAATGAGAAATTTGTGAATATAAGTATTAATCGTCATCACCTCTCAACCATTTCTTATATTTGTTTATCCTGTTCTTCATAGGCTCAACGTTTGCCCCGTAGTCTGTCAATCTGTGGTCTTTCTTTATCTGTCTGAATCTCTGTATCTCGCTTGACATCATCTCGTTCTCCTCCTTTAAACTTTATCCTCTGTTTGGTTCGCAGGACTCTATAGTCGTGTTCAAGGTTGTGATACTCCAACGTATTCTTTAGGTGCTTCTGGTAGTGGTGGTCTGGCACTCTGGCGCTGTTGTTGTCATTGTGGTAGTAGTGGTCTATGGAAGTATATACTTTTTTATTCTTCGGGTTAGTATCTACCGGAGTGCTTCCGGATAGATTTTTACTGCTGTATAGGGTCTGCTTCCTCATAACGTCTCTTCTGACATTCTCGTAGATGTCCCTTTTATTCAGTTCTATCTTCTGCCTATCAATCAACATATGTATTAGTCTATAATATTTTTGATGCTAAACGTTTAATTTCTCCTTCTTTTGGGTGTTCTTCTCTTCTTTGATTGTGGCATACTTCTCCCTTGCGGTCTTGTGCTCGTAGCTCTTCCTTTATTTGTTTCATAATGTCCGCTTTCGCTTTTTGTTGTTTCTTTTCCTGAAGTGGCTTACATCGGTGGTTGTAGCGATAGTTGTGTTTAGACATATACTTATTACAGTCAGCACAGAAGACCGTTTCGTTGCGTTGGTTTCTGGTGGAGTAGTTCTTCTGCTTCAACTTGTTCATATCGGTTTTGGTCATCACTTGTGCGTTCTTCTTCTCTTCTTTTGTTTGTTCTTTGACTTCTTCATTGACTTCTTCTGGTTCTGGTTGCTTCTCTTCATTCTGTCTTCCCTCTTGCTCGTCCACTTCGGTCTTTTTTTTTTCTCTTCCTTTGCCTCTTCCGTTTCTATGTCCGTCACGACAATTTCAGTCATACATAATATTATACATTCTTTAATATGCTTTTTAAAGTCGTTAAGTAGGATTATCAACTTAGTTTTGATTGACAACGATTTGGGCGTTGATGTTCTTGAAGAACATTTTTGTATTGTCCGACTGCATTAAACCAACGTATGTGAAACAGTGCTTGTCGTCCGTCGCTATTCTGTAGATTTTGTCCAGCGTCTTTGTGTCATACAGTCCGCTTAACTCATCCAATATTGCCTCCAAATCCTTTTGATTACGAAGTCTGAAGATGAAGAGTTGTGTAGCGTTCTTTCCAACAACTGGTGATATTTGTGTGTAGGACTGCGATGTGATGAAGGTTGAGATATACCAATGCCTCCCTTTCGTGAAGAGTTTGATGAGTTCCTTGTTCTTTCTTACCACCTTCTCGTTGTCCGCCCAGTCGTCTATGATGATACAGATGTTGTATAGGTGCTTGTATTCCTTCTCCTTAGTCCTTCTCCTCAAAGTTGTCAAAGTAGATGGGGTTTTCATCGGAGTGTTTAATGTCCATCTCGTTTTCAATGTATTTCTTTACAACCGTCCAAGTGTCATCTATAAAGACGGTGGGCGAGAAAATGTAGATTTTCTCGAAACAGTCTTTGTAGATGTCCATTATCAGATTTGTCAGTGCTACTGTCTTACCCGTTCCTGAAGGAGCGTTCAACAGTATTCTCGCGGGAAGCGGTGCCATATATCCATACTTTGATTGCTTACTGCTGTATTCCTTGTGCATATAGGGTTTAATATTAATCATTGAAATATATTACAAATATTTGGAAAATAGAATGTTTATATTCTTGTTGAAGGAGACCATTACGGGACAGTTCGCTTCAATCCGCATAAGTCGCTAATTAGTTTGATTTGTGATGGACTTGCCCCACCCAGTGTTTGACGATTGCCAAGTTGAATTCATACAGTGCTCCCCCCAAAGCAGTATAATTAGATTTTGCTATTGTAATATCTAATTATAGTTAAAAACCTAAATACATATATAGTATGATGCTTTCTGAATACGACACTTACATAACGGCAATAGATTATATGGAAACTAGAACTACTGATGATGATAAATACCCCGTTGTCAAAGACTATAAAATAAAACACTGTTGTAAATACACGCTTGAAGTAACACAATTGATATTTACATATCTAAGTTTTAATATAAATGCGTCGCAAAAAAGCAAATCCAAAGATGAATAAAACACCCATACCGGAAGATTTTGAGCTTTCCGATGAAGAACCAACAATGATAAACCGGACGAAGAGCAGAAACTGAAAAGCAAGTTTATCACCTTTGACTGTCCCTTATGCCACGGAAAACTACAAGTACAAAACACAATAGAAATCAACCCGAAAGGGGTAAAGTGTAGTTGCAATCCGTGTTCCTCCAAAATATAAAAGAGTGATATATCACTATGAACGTTAGTAGAGATGACAACGGAGACATTAAACTGGATAGTGAAGCACACAGTATCTCGTTCAGTTGGAACAGACAAATCACACCGGAAGACAAAGACAAGGAAAGCACCAACCGGATGATTGCTGATGTGATGAACACACCAAGAAGTGAGAAACAACAACCATCTATACAGGATATGGATTAAAATAACAGTTTAAGGAGTAGATTTTGACGCAATGAAGTCCGATATATAAA